TCTAATAATATGGCCAGGGGCTGTAATTTCTTGAATCTTTTTCAAATTTATGTAATTACAAATTAGAATGATGATATGCTTGATTTGATATATTCTAATACAACTTGTTACACATTCTTGTGAGGAAGTTGTTTCTGTGGACACTTACCATCCTCTCTTATGTTTGAATTATCAGTGTTCCACCACATGTAATAATATGTATGATGAATGTTAGGTTTATGACTTCACTAATGCATTTTACTACATGATAGAATTGTATCTTTGTGATTTAGGTGAATTATACTCATCTTCCAATTGTTGCTTCTCTAATTTAATTTCCATGTTTTACTTCTACATTTATCAGTGTATTGATCTCTCTGTTTGTAAGAAGATCTGGAAGATATCAAAGTTTCCTCATTGGTATAGTCAGGAATTAAGACTTAATTTTTTGGAATGAAGCTCATAAATGCTATAAACCGTTTGACGCACCACTTTATTATAGTTTGTTTTTCCAATCTAAGATATAACTGTAGAAGACAAACAAAAACTGACTTCAAGAGGGTCAGTGAGGATTTTGCACAACGTATCTGTACTAAAAAGAAGAACTTTTGGAAATATATTAACTCTAAGAAGACTAGTAGCTGTTAGCCTCACTTGATGAGGATGAGTTCAATTGTCTATACAAATACTCAGTTTATAATAAATGGATTTTCAAGTTATTTCTCTGCCTTTTATATTCATCATTTAAGTCAGGATGATATAAATCTTGTTGATAAGACTCATGATGTTTTGAACTCCATGTATTGAAGAAAATTGAAAATTTTGACATGATTGGAAAAACCAGTCCAGGCGAGATCACTAAATTTTATTAAAAAGGTGTAAATTTGTCCTCTCCAAATTACTGAAGGTTCTATTCGATAAATCATTATTTGAAGGGCTGTTTCCTATGGTGTGGAGGTGTGGAAATCCTCACACATTGTACCAATCTTCAGATCTGCTGAATCGGATTGTATTTCTAATTATTGACCAATTCTCAACGAATTTCATATGTTACTTTCAATACATACGCAATGAAATGGAGGATAATTTTCAGGTCGACAGTATTGATTACGGCTTTCATAAGGCC